CATTGGCCTGGTCATGGAGGTCGCTCGTACCTCCTTGGTCCATGCGGCGGCTCCCCATTTTCTGTGGCCGTTTGCTGTCCGGTACGCCGCGCATCAGCTCAACCTCTGGCCCCGTGTCTCCTTGCCGGAGACCTCGCCCACACTGCGTTGGACGGGGGAGGTTGGCGATGCGTCGCGCTTCCGGGTGTGGGGTGCTCGTGCCCTTGTCCGCGATACGTCCGCGGACAAGCTCTCCTCCCGCACGCTTCCCTGTGTCTTCCTTGGCTTTGTCCCTGACGCGCCTGGCTGGCAGTTTTACCACCCCACCTCGCGCCGGGTCTTCGCCTCTCAGGACGTCACCTTTGACGAGTCGGTCCCTTTTTACCGTCTCTTCCCCTACCGCACTGCCCCTCTCCCTCCCCCGCCGCTTTTCCTCGCTCCTGGTCCCCCTCCGGTAGACCCCCTCCCCCCTCAGGGTCCTGCTCCTTCAGGTGTCTCTCAGGTAGACCCTCCTCCCGTCGCTGAGCCTGTCGAGGTCACAGGTGACTCAGGTGCTGCTGCGGGTGGTGCTGCTGGGAGTGCTGAGCCTGCGGGTGCTGGGCCTGGGAGTGCTGGGGCTGCGGGTGCTGGGACTGAGGGTGCTGGAGCTGAGGGTACTGTGCCTGAGAGTTCGGAGCCTGGGGGTGCTGAGCCTGGGGGTGCTGTGTCTGGGGGTGCTGAGCCTGCGTGTGCGGAGTCTGGGGGTGCTGAGCCTGGGGGTGCTGTGTCTGGGGGTGCTGAGCCTGCGTGTACGGAGTCTGGGGGTGCTGAGCCTGGGGGTGCTGCGCCTGAGCCTACGGAGCCTGGGGTTGCTGCGTCTGGGGGTGCTCCGGTTCGGGGTGCTGAGCAGTCTCTCACACCGCAGCAGCTTCGTGACTGGTACGTCCGGCGCTTTCGCCGTCCTCGTGGCCCTGCTGGAGTTGGAGGTTCTGGAGCTGCCGGGACTGGTTGTTCTGGGAGCACTGAGACTGGAGCTGCTGGAGCTGGGGACTCTGGAGCTGGCGGTGCTAGCGGAGTTGGAGCTGCCGGCTCTAGGGGTACTCTTCCTGGAGGTACTGGAGCTGCTGGAGCTGACGACACTGGAGCTGACGGTTCTGGACACGGTGGTCCTGCTGGTTCTGGAGGTGCTGGCGAGGGGAGGTCTGCCGCTGCTGGGGCCTCTGGTGCTGACGTCGCCGACTCTGGGGGTGCTGCGGCGGAGGGTGCTGGTCCTGGTGCTTCTGGTGCTGCGGGTGCTGGAGGTGCTGGCGGAGCTCCGCCGTCGCGCCTGTTCTTCGCTCCTCCGTCGCCGTCGGCTTTGCCGCCGCCTGACACGGTGCTTCGCCAGGTTCTTTCCCTCCCGTCTTCCACTGGCCTTCCCCTCCAGCCTGGCTCCCCCCTCCCTGCTCCGGTACCTTACCCTGCACAGCCGGACTCGCTTACGGAGCGTCGTGAGCCTGCGTCTCGTCCTACCTCGCCTGTTCGCGCTGCCCGCACTGCTCGCACTGCGCGCACTGGTCCCACTGGTCGTCGTGTCGCGCGTCCGCGTCCTCCTCCTGTTCCTGGCACGCACATTATGGCCCTTCGTCCTTCCACTGGTCCACAGCGTGTCCCCCTACCGTCTCCTCCTGCGTCTTCTCTTCCTGACGTTCCCGACCCTGAGTCTGACAGTGTTCGTGCTGCCCACCCTACTGTTACGCGTCTTCTCGCCACTGTTGTCACTGACCCGTCGTTTGAGTCTGCTGCTGCGTCTGCCCTGGTCGCTGAGCTTGTCGACTTTGCTGCTGCCTGTCGTCTAGACTACGCCACTAGTCTTGTTACTGAGTCTGAGTCTGTCTGTCCTCCGTCCGTCGGGGGTGAGTGTGCTCTTGGCACGGACGTCCTTGAGGACAGGCAGGAGGACTTTGACTGTCTTGCGGCTGCTGTACCTCATCTCGTGGCCTGGTTGCTTGCCCCTGAGGGAGACCCGGATGCACTAGACATCCCCACTCCGCGCTCTTACGCAGAGGCGATCTCGGGTCCCTACTCCTCTCAGTGGCAGACAGCCATGGACGCAGAGATGGCATCCTGGAAGTCCACAGGCATCTACATCGACGAGGTTCCCCCTCCTGGGGCGAACATCGTCGATGGCATGTGGATTTTCAGGGTGAAGCGGCCGCCAGGTTCTCCACCTGTCTTCAAGGCTCGTTACGTTGCTAGAGGCTTCAGTCAGCGTCAGGGGGTTGACTTCTTCCAGACCTTCTCCCCCACCCCGAAGATGACCACTCTTCGGGTTCTGCTGCACGTTGCTGCTCAGCGTGACTACGAGCTTCACTCTCTTGACTTCAGCACAGCGTTCCTGCAGGGCAGCCTGCACGAGGAGATCTGGCTGCGCCGCCCACCTGGCTTTACTGGGTCGTTTCCTCCTGGTACCCAGTGGAGCCTCCGCCGGCCAGTCTACGGTCTCCGCCAGGCGCCACGTGAGTGGCACGACACACTGAGGACTACACTTGCGGCTCTTGGGTTCGCGCCGTCTACTGCTGACCCGTCGCTGTTTCTGCGCACAGACACGTCGCTGCCGCCGTTCTACATTCTCGTGTACGTCGACGACTTGGTCTTTGCTACTGCTGACATTGAGGCACTCGCTCGTGTGAAGTCGGAGCTGCAGAAGAGACACACCTGCACTGACCTGGGTGAGCTGCGTAGCTACCTTGGCTTGCAGATCACCCGGGACAGAGCACGCCGCACCATTACCCTGACTCAGTCACACATGGTGCAGCAGGTCCTTCAGCGCTTCGGCTTCCAGTTCTCCTCACCACAGGCCACACCTCTGGCTACCAGCCACTCGCTCTCAGCTCCACCTTCGGACGAGTCCGTAGAGCCGAGTGGCCCGTACCCAGAGCTTGTAGGCTGCCTCATGTACCTGATGACTTGCACGCGACCTGACCTCGCGTACCCTCTTAGCATCCTTGCTCGTTACGTTGCGCCTGGGAGACACAGGCGAGAGCACTGGGAGGCTGCTAAGAGGGTGCTGCGTTACTTGTGCAGTACATCAGGCATGGGGCTGGTGCTTGGAGGACGCGACAGAGTTGTCCTCACTGGTCACTCGGACGCTTCTTGGGTGGACGACTTGGCTACGCAGCGGTCGTCGCAGGGTTACACCTTCAGCCTTGGCTCTGGTTCTGTCTCGTGGCGGTCCACCCGCTCTTCTTCTGTTCTCAGCTCTAGTTGTGAGGCTGAGATCTACGCCACGGCCATGGCTGCACAGGAGTTACGCTGGCTCACCTACCTGCTGACTGACTTGGGAGAGCGGCCTAGTTCTCCTCCAGTTCTGTACGGCGACAACAAGGCGTCCCTTGCCTTGTGTCAGGAGCACAGACTGGAGCACAGGACGAAGCACATTGCTCTTCGCTACTTTCTTGCTCGAGAGCTGCAGCAGCGAGGTCAGCTTCGGCTTGTGTACGTGGACTCGAAGGCCAACACTGCTGATATCTTCACCAAGGCGCTCCCGCCTAGTGATCATCAGCGGCACTGTACTTCTTTAGGCCTTGTGTCCACATTCCCTCATTTGCTTACTGCTTGACTTTCTTTGTACTGTACTTTATATATATCTTGTTGTTTACTTGCTAGGTTTTGACACACTGTGTGCTTGTCTTGTACTATATCTAGCATTGCATGTGAACTGGCCTTGTGGCCTTTACTTGTGCTCGGAGTGTGGTGACGTTGTGATCCACCCTGGGCTTGCGTTGCTTTGCTGGACTGGTCTTGTGACCCTTTGTTCTCCCCACTTTGCCTATGGGGGTGTGTTAAACTGTTATATGTTGGTAGGCTGTAGTGGGGTAGCCAATATGTGGTACAACCCCAACTAGGGTTTGCTACTTGTACCCAACTGTTTCATTCAATGCACCATTCTTGCCTAGTTCTGTTGACATTGTCTCCTTCCTTCCTCTCATTGCTTGATAAAGTTTGTGTTGAACCTGGCGGGTTTATTTCTCACTCCCTACTATCCTCCCTTTTTTTTCCTTCCCATTTCCTCTACATCAATAACCATATTGTACCTTTCAGGAAGCCAAGTTCAGACTACAAAGTGGGAAGAGTAGTGGTGATTCGCAGAATTCATTTTTATTATACTTGTATATTGTTCTGCACCTTCTATTGTTATTGCTTTGACTTTGTTCTGGTGTGAGTTGGGGTTTCTGTATGTGTATGCGTGTGTATTCATCTGTATTCATTCACTCATTGCATAAGCAATGCATGTCTGTGTGTCTTAAAAAAATAGTCAGCCTATCATTTCCGAGAAGGTTCTTTGCCCACTCAGTGAGTGTGTTCACTTGAACTGGATTTGATGGGAATTGATTTTTTTTTTTTTTGATACACAGATTGTGTTGTTTCATGTAACAGTTGTATGACTTAAATGCTAGGCTATTGACTTCCCCCCCATGCTAGGCAGGGGATGCGGTAGCCTAGTTGTTTAGGTCGCATAACTATCACGCATTTATATCATGTACTGACATACATACGGCACTAACATATACCGTACTGGTATGCATCCTGCTATACATTATATTTATGCATTATGCAATCATTATTTTAATTCATCATACAAATATTCATACATGCACACAAAATTCGAATACCTATTAACAATATAATACCGTATGCATTACAGGACTAACAGCCGTATAGTCAAGACGTTTTAACACATACAAGGAGCAAGCAGCCACATGGGTACCACACGAAGTATAGTAAGGCAGTCATCTAAGTAAGTTTCTTTTCTTTTCATATTTCATATTAAAAATATGAAAAAAAATTGTACATAACGATTGTAATAGGTTGCTTCGCAACCCAAAAATTTGTGACCGACTAGTAATCAACTCTGATCACAAATTGCAAAATGGGGCGAAACGGAATTCAAATCATCTACGGGTTAGGCCACATGGCATTCCAGGCAAAATCATACAATAGTCCACATTTGCAACTGGAAACTGAATATGCGGCAATGCAAGCAGGGCAACTACGGTGGATCAGGCAGCAGGAAGGGGGGACCTCCTCTGCACAACGCTTGCGCCTGACTCCTGGAACTCGCTCTTGGAAATCCACATCTGCATGGAAGAGGAAAAACGAGTGTCATATCACCAGCCACCAGCAAGACAAGAGAAAGGAAAAAGGGCACAGGTGCATACCTGCTTGAAGGAGCTGTGGGAAGCAAGCATGTCTCCACCAATCCAGGCACTGTAATCCCCCTGGTGTGAGGTGGGCTTGGAAACATTAACCTCAGTGCCAGCAAGCTGAGTGATTTCCTTTGTCAAGCGCTCAGCAAATCTAGCGATTTCAGTGTTACCACCCGCAACAACGATGTTACCATACAGCTGGTTCCTGATATCGCCATCACACGCCATGATGGAGTTGTGGCACATTTCGTGAATACCCGAGCCTTCCACCCCAGCAAGCGAGGGCTTGAACAGAGCTTCTGGGCACATAAACCGCTCAGAAGATAGAGTAGCCACCTGGCCATCCGGAAGATCGTAAGAGCATGACGAGCTCTCCGCACTCGCCATCTCCTGCTCGAAATCAACGGCAACGAATGAAAGTCTCTCCTTGAGATCGACCACATAGTCCCTGTTAGAAGGGTTGTGTATGGAAATGCCCCTCTCGTCCAGAAGCTTACGCAGGTAGCCAGTCAATTCTCCGCCACCAAGATTTAGATTGAGGATCCCGTTGGGCACAGCCAGCCCTTCGAATACGGGGACGGCGGAGGACAGGCCATAACCCGAGTCCAGAACAAGACCTGTAAACGAGGAAGAGAATAGCATCAGAGACATGGTGCAAAAGCAGCTCTGCGAAAAAAATGCAGTGAAATCCAACTTACCCGTGGTACGACCGCTGGAGTACAGAGCGAGCACAGACTGAATGGCGACATACATCGCGGGGAAATTTAAAGTCTCAAACATGATCTCCGCCAGCTTTTCGCGACTTCCCTCGGAATTTGAAGCAGCTTCAGTCAAAAGCACCGGATGCTCATCGGGAAACGTGACATCAAGCGTCTTGCAGATAGTATGCTCCCAAATTTTTTCCATGTCGTCCCATGCTGTCACAATGTAAAGTAACAGCTGTGGAGGTCATAACGCGAGGAGAAAGAGTATAACCGTGCGTACTAAGTCCTTCAGAAACCTCGTTAAACTCACCGTGATCAATAGGATGTTTGAGAGTCAAAATTCCAGCATGGTTCTGCGCGTCATCGCCAATTTCAACCTCCTCCCTTTCAAACGATCCCGACTGCCTAGGACGACCAACAATCGTGGGAAACACAACACGCGGCGCCCCTTCTCCTCTGGAAAATCCGGCCTAAAAAGCAGATCAGGGTGAATGAATTACCAATCCATCTAGTAGGCGGAAGCAACGAGAATGTTTAAACGACAATGTGGTAAGGTAATTCACCTCACCTTCATCACGCCGGATCCGTTGTCGAGCACAATAGTCGTAGCATCTCCCAACTCGTCGGCCATGATGAACACTTTTCACTGTAATAAACCAAAGGTTAACCGGAAACAGATTTCAGCAACTGAAATTCTAAAAAAGCATGCGCATAGATCTAGAGCAGGCTGCTTTTACGGAACCACTTGGCATGATTGTGATAGACATGCTCACCAGTTATGATGAGGTATAGCGAAGCACAAGATAAGCTGCTGGAGGGCTCTCAGTAATGAAGGCGAGTATTAATACTAGTACAAGTCCCTTCTTGTATCTTCATCGTCATTCCTACAGCAGCACTTCCCTGACCCCAGCCCAACAGGCGGCGATGCATCTAGAAAAATGATCATGTTATCCGCCGGCATGGGACGTGAGTGGCTCACTTTTGATTCCGGACCTTGTTTGACGAACGACACGACGGTCAAGAATTCCGGACGTCCAAACGATGGATAGGGTTGGGCTACCGACAAGGCTCTGACGAATGCGCTGCTTACACATTGGAACGAAGTACAGTATAGGGATAATTGGGCCCTCAATCATGCGAATAAACTTGAAAGGAGTTGCTGGGAACCTGCCGAAAGACCTGAGCAACCATTTTGTCCCCTAGAACGACACCCCGTCCATCACTGCCGTCGTCAGATGCACAGTAGAACAGTAATCATCTTGACGGCCTCGACATACTCCTACTACACTGATTCCACTTTCCCCCCACGCCCTTTTTGGGTTGCGAAGCAACCTATTACGATCGATTGACCAGTTTTTTTTCTTTTTTTTTTCACATTTTATATTTATTTAAAATAAAATGTGAGAATCTGGATGCACTAATTGCTAGCTATGTAATTTGTAGGAGATACTGTTTTGTTATATTCTGGTAGTGATTTTTGCAACACAACTATGTTGTCTATGTGCTTTTCGATGTTGTGCTTTACTACCGTACCGTGTAATATGCACATGATATGAAACGATGCATATCGTGATTGGTGAATGTAGATGAATATAATGATGTTATATGAAAATGTATATATTATGTATGTAAAATATAGTATGGTATGATATATGAATAATGCTTATTACCGACAAATCATAATGCATATATATGATAAAGATGCGTGAAAGCTAACGACCCAAAAACTAAGCTACCGCATCCTCTGCCTAGCATGGGGAGGAGCTAATAGCATAATTTTTGGATAATCAGCATTCACATGAAACAACACAATCTGTGAATCCTAAAAAAATGGTCAACTCTATCAGATCCAGCTCAAGTGGGCTCCCGACAGGCGCGCCAATGAACCTTCTAATGAAATGATAGACTTGAGCCATTTTTTTTAAACCCACAGACATGCATTATTATTGCAATGATGATATGGATAAATGAAAATGAACAAGTACACGCACACGCACACGCACGCACGCACGCATACCAAACACTTCCGCACACGCAACAAAACCAACAACGTAATAAAAATACAAGGCACACGAGTGACACAAATGAACGAATTCTACAAGCCACCACTAGTACGGTATCTTCCAGCTTTCCACATTATGACTTGATTTTTTTAATGTGAGAGCAATCTGAAATACAGAACAAAGGTGAAAAGAGAGAATAGGAGAGAGGTGAAGGACATTGATTAAATTGATGAACGAAGGTCAGAATACGACAAGTCTTAAAAGTGGCACCATACATCGCAACGTGACTATATCTGCGACGATGTACTCATGAAATACAGGTTCAAGAAAGACTTAGAGAGGCGACAACACAGAAATTGAGAGCGGCGATGATGAAATAAGAAACATACGGCAGGAAAGAAAATAAGGCAAACAACATTAGGACGGAAAGGAATGACGACAACGAAAGGAGAAACAACATATTCAGAAATGTAAGCGACAACAATGGAAGGAGAAACGTAGAGAATAAGAGAGACGTATTACAAGAAGCAAAGAGAGGGGGAAACAACGATGTACCTTAGCTGTGAAATTTACAGAGAGAGAACGAGAGAACGAGAGAATGAGAGACCAAGAGAGAGAGAGAGAGAGAACGAGAGAGTGTGTGTGTGTGTGTGAGAGAGAGAGAGAGAGAGAGAGAGAGAGAGAGAGAGAGAGAGAGAGAGAGAGAGAGAGAGAGAGAGAACAAGAGATGGAGAACGAGAGAGGGAGATCGAGAGAGGGAGAACGCGAAAGGGAGAACGCGAGGGAGAGAACGGCAGAGGGAGAACGGAGAGGAGAGAACGAGAGAGAGAGAGAACGGAAGAGAGCGAACGTGAGAGAGAGAACGGAGAGAGAGCGGAGAGAGAGACAGAGAGAGAGAGAGAGAGAGAGAGGGAGAGAGAGAGAGAGAGAGAGAGAGAGAGAGAACGAGAGAGAGAAAACGGGAGAAAGAGAGAGAACGGATAGAGAGAAAGGGAAAAAGAGAACGAGCGAGAGAGAACAAGAGAGAACAAAATGGACTAAACATGCAGCCTATTATAATCGTTATGTACAACCTAAGACGAGGTTGAAAAAAAAAACAAACTAAAACATGCAATTATGAAGAAAAGGAAACCGACGAAATGAAAACTAACGATGAAGAATAGAATATACGGATGCAAGATTATACAGGAAGAAACGAAATCTAAAAAAAAAAAAAAAAAAAACGAGAACTTGAAATTTCTACGAAGGGCCTAGAACCAAAGTTTAAAACGACTAAGTCTAGCTAGCTATAGTAAACCGTTAGGATACGAGATAACTAAATGTTAGTCTTATCTAATAGGCATCTAACTTAGTTGGAGTTAGAGCATGTTCTCACCTTAGTTGGAGTTAGACTAGGCTGAGTTGGTAGAGCGTGACCAGCGAGAAGAAGAGAGGGAGGGAAAAGAAGAGACCCACCAAACCCTAAGGGTGTTGGTGTTTAGGGTTGCAATGATGATATGGATAAATGAAAATGAACAAGTACACACACACGCACGCACGCACGCACACATACCAAACACTTCCGCACACGCAACAAAACCAACAACGTAATAAAAATACAAGGCACATGAGTGACACAAATGAACGAATTCTACAAGCCACCACTAGTACGGTATCTTCCAGCTTTCCACATTATGACTTGATTTTTTGAATGTGAGAGCAATCTGAAATACATAACAAAGGTGAAAAGAGAGAATAGGAGAGAGGTGAAGGACATTGATTAAAATTGATGAACGAAGGTCAGAATACGACAAGTCTTAAAAGTGGCACCATACATCGCGACGTGACTATATCTGCGACGATGTACTCATGAAATACAGGTTCAAGAAAGACTTAGAGAGGCGACAACACAGAAATTGAGAGCGGCGATGATGAAATAAGAAACATACGGCAGGAAAGAAATAAGGCAAACAACATTAGGACGGAAAGGAATGACGACAACGAAAGGAGAAACAACATATTCAGAAATGTAAGCGACAACAATGGAAGGAGAAACGTAGAGAATAAGAGAGACGTATTACAAGAAGCAAAGAGAAGGGGAAACAACGATGTACCTTAGCTGTGAAATTTACAGAGAGAGAACGAGAGAACGAGAGAATGAGAGACCAAGAGAGAGAGAGAGAACGAGAGAGAGAGAACGAGAGAGTGTGTGTGTGTGTGTGTGAGAGAGAGAGAGAGAGAGAGAGAGAGAGAGAGGAGAGAGAGAGAGAGAGAGAGAGAGAGAGAACGAGAGATGGAGAACGAGAGAGGAGATTGAGAGAGGGAGAACGCGAAAGGGGAGAACGCGAGGGAGAGACGGCAGAGGGAGAACGCGAGGGAGAGAGCGACCGTGAGAGAGAGAACGGGAGAGAGAGAGCGGGAGAGAGAGACAGAGAGAGAGAGAGAGAGAGAGAGAGAAAGAGAGAGAGAGAGAGAGAGAGAGAGAGAGAGAACGTGAGGGAGAAAACGGGAGAGAGAGAGAGAACGGGATAGAGAGAAAGGGAAAAAGAGAACGAGCGAGAGAGAACAAGAGAGAACAAAATGGACTAAACATGCAGCATATTATAATCGTTATGTACAACCTAAGACGAGGTTGAAAAAAAAAAACAAACTAAAACATGCAATTATGAAGAAAAGAAAACCGACGAAATGAAAACTAACGATGAAGAATAGAATATACGGATGCAAGATTATACAGGAAGAAACGAAATCTAAAAAAAAAAAAAAAAAAAAAAAACGAGAACTTGAAATTTCTACGAAGGGCCTAGAACCAAAGTTTAAACGACTAAGTCTAGCTAATAGTAAACCGTTATGATACGAGATAACTAAATGTTAGTCTTATCTAATAGGCATCTAACTTAGTTGGAGTTAGAGCTCAATGTTCTCACCTTAGTTGGAGTTAGACTAGGCTGAGTTGGTAGAGCGTGACCAGCGAGAAGAAGAGAGGGAGGGAAAAGAAGAGACCCACCAAACCCTAAGGGTGTTGGTGTTCATCGCGTCTTATTATTAAAATAAAATACTTTTAGTTTCGCATTTCAAACGTCTGTGGCGTCTTGTCGGTAAGATTTCGACTCCAATCGAAAGGACTGGGGTTCGATTCTTACAAGGCGCAATTTTATAAACTTCAACCTAAGTTACATACTCGGTATAAAAGTTAAGGCATCCATCCAAAACAAGATCTATACTTGGTATTATAAGTTGTACAATATGTGTTAACTTTGCAAAGCGCTTCGCAACCCTAAGACGATCTCGTCGCCTCTTGTTTTTTTTTTTTTGAAGGTCCACCACTGTGGGAGTTCGTCGAAACCGGTGCCGGCGACCAGCTTGGAAAACACCAGTGCCGGCAACCAGCTTGGAAAACACCAACATCTTTGTAAGGGGAGATCTAGGTCGTGGAAAAAAGGGGTTTTTTTTTTTTTTTTTTTTTTTTCAGCACCTAATGATACGAGATATATAGAGACTCACAATGTAGCACAATTACGCATGGAAATTGAGTGGGAACAGGAAGAGAAGAGGAAAGGAGGAATAACGTGAGGAGAAAAAAGGAAAGAAGAAGAAAGAAGGAAGGGAATAGGGAGAAAACGGTAGGAGGAAGAAAAACCGGGAAAAATGAAGAAAAAACACAAGACACAACCTCAAGAAAACCCCAATAGCACACACAATTGAAACCCCATCTAACCATCCCATCAAAACACCCCAACTGCACTCCCATCGAACCAAAACCCCCCTAAACCCACCCTCTAAACCCGCATGTCTACCAAGTAGGGTGCATCCGCCCACGGAGCATCCCATCCCATCTCCTCCTCAACATCCTCCCGCTCCACCCAAACAGCCTCTGGACTTTCAAGAGAACTAGGCAAGAATGCATGAACTAACAGAAGTTTGGGTACAAGTATGAAACCCTAGTTGGGGTTGTACCCCATATTGGCTACCCCACTACAGCCTACAAGCATAATACAGTTTAACACACCCCCATAGGCAAAGTGGGGGAGAACAAAGGGTCACAAGACCAGTCCAGCAAAGCAAAGCAAAGCCCAGGGTGGATCACAACGTCACCACACTCCGAGCACAAGTAAAGGCCACAAGGCCAGTTCACATGCAGTGCTAGATATAGTACAAGACAAGCAACACAGTGATCAAAACCTAGCAAGCAAGTAACAAGATATATATAAAGTACAGTACAAAGAATGTCAAGCAGTGAGCAAGTGAGGAAACGTGGACACAAGGCCTAAAGAAGTACAGTGCCGCTGATGATCACTAGGCGGGAGCGCCTTGGTGAAGATATCAGCAGTGTTGGCCTTCGAGTCCACGTACACAAGCCGAAGCTGACCGCGCTGCTGAAGCTCTCGAGCAAGAAAGTAGCGAAGAGCAATGTGCTTCGTCCTGTGCTCCAGTCTGTGCTCCTGACACAAGGCAAGAGCCGCCTTGTTGTCACCGTACAGAACTGGAGGAGAACTAGGCCGCTCTCCCAAGTCAGTCAGCAGGTAGGTGAGCCAGCGTAACTCCTGTGCAGCCATGGCTGTGGCGTAGATCTCAGCCTCACAACTAGAGCCGAGAACAGAGGAAGAGCGGGTGGACCGCCACGAGACAGAACCAGAGCCAAGGCTGAAGGTGTAACCCTGTGACGACCGCTGCGTAGCCAGGTCGTCCACCCAAGAGGCGTCCGAGTGACCAGTGAGGACAACTCTGTCGCGTCCTCCAAGCACCAGCCCCATGCCTGATGTACTGCACAGGTAACGCAGCACCCTCTTAGCAGCCTCCCAGTGCTCTCGCCTGTGTCTCCCAGGCGCAACGTAACGAGCAAGGATGCTAAGAGGGTACGCGAGGTCAGGTCGCGTGCAAGTCATCAGGTACATGAGGCAGCCTACAAGCTCTGGGTACGGGCCACTCGGCTCTACGGACTCGTCCGAAGGTGGAGCTGAGAGCGAGTGGCTGGTAGCCAGAGGTGTGGCCTGTGGTGAGGAGAACTGGAAGCCGAAGCGCTGAAGGACCTGCTGCACCATGTGTGACTGAGTCAGGGTGATGGTGCGGCGAGCTCTGTCCCGGGTGATCTGCAAGCCAAGGTAGCTACGCAGTTCACCCAGGTCAGTGCAGGTGTGTCTCTTCTGCAGCTCCGACTTCACACGAGCGAGTGCCTCAGTGTCAGCAGTAGCAAAGACCAAGTCGTCGACGTACACGAGGATGTAGAACGGCGGCAGCGACGTGTCTGTGCGCAGAAACAGCGACGGGTCAGCAGTAGACGGCGCGAATTCAAGAGCCGCAAGAGTAGTCCTCAGTGTGTCGTGCCACTCACGTGGCGCCTGGCGGAGACCGTAGACTGGCCGGCGGAGACTCCACTGGGTACCAGGAGGAAACGACCCAGTAAAGCCAGGTGGGCGGCGCAGCCAGATCTCCTCGTGCAGGCTGCCCTGCAGGAACGCTGTGCTGAAGTCAAGAGAGTGAAGCTCGTAGTCACGGTGAGCAGCAACGTGCAGCAGAACCCGAAGAGTGGTCATCTTCGGGGTGGGGGAGAAGGTCTGGAAGAAGTCGACCCCCTGACGCTGACTGAAGCCTCTAGCAACGTAACGAGCCTTGAAGACAGGCGGAGAACCTGGCGGCCGCTTCACCCTGAAAATCCACATGCCATCGACGATGTTCGCCCCAGGAGGGGGAACCTCGTCGACGTAGGTGCCTGTGGACTTCCAGGATGCCATCTCTGCGTCCATGGCTGTCTGCCACTGAGAGGAGTAGGGACCCGAGATCGCCTCTGCGTAAGTGCGCGGAGTGGGGATGTCTACTGCATCCGGGTCTCCCTCAGGGGCAAGCAACCAGGCCACGAGATGAGGTACAGCAGCCGCAAGTGAGTCAAAGTCCTCCTGCCTGTCCTCAAGGACGTCCGTGCCAAGAGCACACTCACCCCCGACGGACGGAGGACAGACAGACGCAGACTCTGACTCAGCGACAAGGCTAGCAGCGTAGTCTAGACGACAGGCAGCAGCAAAGTCAACCAACTCAGCGACCAGAGCAGACGCAGCCGAGGACTCAAAG